TAGCCAGAGCATGAAGCAGCTTATAGCTCAACAGCAGGAGGGCACCGCCCAAGCCCCACACCTGGGACAGCCTGACACATAGGAGAGGGGCGAGAGCCGGAAGATGCCCCGCCCCCAGGGAGATGCAGCGGTGGCCCATGGGCAACGCTCGTGAGGAGAGAAGCCACGTGCATGCCACGTGCATCAGCAAGGGGCTGTAAAGCCATGGTGCAACGTCCACACATGGGGTCCCCCAGCCACAAGGACACCCAGTGACCCTGTAGAAGGGCCTCAATATAGCAAGGCTGCAGAAAGCAGCCGGGAACATGGGGGATGCTTCTTGGCGGGAGCTGCAGAGAGAAGCCCAGGAAGTTGCCAGAGACGGTGCCTGGCACAGATGGGGGAACGGCGACCGCCAGGGCCAGCGGGGACACAGTAGGTGGGCAGGATCTGGGGAAAAGGGGCGACAGAAGCCCAAAGGCACATGTAGACCCCTGCATGCCGCGAATCCTCAATCGGCCCTCAGCGGCCGCGCGCCCAGCAGGTGCCAAGCTTGGGCCCAGACTTCCACAGCCACGCATGGACCTAGGGCATTGATGCAGCCAGACTGTGGGCAGTGCCAGGGAGAGCGGGCGACACACCAGCCTTGGAACAGGATGCCGGGTGGAGGAGGAGTCCACCGCTGGAAAACATCCTGAGGGGCAGGACGCAGACAGAGGGCACCGGGCCCAGGGTGGAGCCTGGTGACGCAGTGGGTCAGACACCAGGCTGTTAGCTGCAGGGCCAGTGGCTCAAAACTCACCAGCGCTCCAAGGTGGGAAGGCAAGGCAGCCTGCTCCTTGGCCTCAAAGACCGAAGACCGGTCAGGCAGCTAGAGGCAGAACTCAGGGTTGTCCCTCAATGTGCCAAAGCCTCCCTTCCCCTTACAGGAAGCTGGAAGCTGCTTAAGGCTGGAGGGCATGCTCACATTCAAGCTCCTGTCTGGGAAGGGGTGGTACACCTGGGAGGGACCCCATCCAGGCCAGGTGGGCTTAATTCAGCCAATGAGGTTAGCCAGTGTCATGATCGCACCTCTCAATGTGTATGTGTGTGTGTGTGTGTGTGTGGAGGGGGGCCTGAAAAAGCCAGAAGGTCTCTGTGGTGCGGGCCCTCTCCCAGCGGCTGCCACACAGCGCAGCTCGGCTGGGCTGCGTCCCACCAAGTGTGCCACAGACTCCGTCTGGCTTGTGCTCCATTTGCCGTAAAGCCGGAAGTGCTTCATAAAACTCACTGGGATCACAGACCAGGCTTCGTGTGAATTCTTTCTCACAAGAAGCCAAGGACCGAGGTATTTCTCCAAAAGACCTAACAGACTGGACCTGGTCAGAGGCAGTGGAATTGTTTTTAGGGGGCCTGGGGAGGGGAGCAGATGTGGTCCCTTTCTGGGGTGCTGAGCCTGACGTGAAATTACACGGCTGCGGCCTGTCACCACACCGAGGACTGAGGAGCAGCCACCCAGGGCAGGGGGCCCCACCAGCAGACCCATCGGCCTGACTCCCGAGCAGGCTGGTATGGGAGGGAGGGACCGAGGGCACAGAGCAGGCACCACATACGACAGCCCAGGGGCCATGACAGTTCCTCACTGGGACTCAAGGCCCCCGGGGCAAAGGCGGGGCAGGGCCACCCCACCTCCCACCCCCACCCCACTGGCTGCCAGCATATCCCACCACAGCTCCGACCAGGGAATGTTGGCCAGAGCACTGCCACCGTCAGGGCCTCAACAAAGGGGAAACTGGAGAGCCAGTGGTCTTCCTGTTTGGGGATGGTCCCTGCCCACCTGCCCGCTGGTCTCCCAGGTCCCCCTGGAACAGCCTAGCACCGCCTCTCCCTCTGGGACCACAGACTGAGAGCTCTCACCCAGCCCTCGATGAAGGAAGGCCTGCTTGCCACAGGTGGGGGCAGGGGCGCAGAGAGGAAACGGGAACTCCTGCCAGAAGCCCCATGGGGGTGCTGCGCCCCTTCTTGTTCATCTTCTACAGGCCCCCCAGCCCTGACCCCACCCACCCAGCATCGACAAGCAGAGGGGACCGTCCAGGCAGTGCTACCAAAGCCTGAGGCGCTGACACCAATTCACCCCAAATGCCCTCCAGCGTGGGGTCCCACTACCCAGACGGTGCCCCAACAGCCTCTGTATACACACGTGGCCCTGGTGAGAACGCAGTCTCCCCACAACTGCCCAGCCTCCCAATGGGACCGCTGAGCAGCAATCCGTGCAGATGGGCCCCACCAGTCCAGACAAGCCCAGGGTCAGTGGGCACCGCGCTGCGCCAGGCGGGGTCTTACCGAGCTCCTTGGAGCCTTGGCTCTCACTGGCCAGCTCTCCCATCTTCACCAGGGCGTCAAAGTAGCCTTTGGCGGCGTACGTCACACCTGGGGGAGCAAGGGGAGGCATGACTGCCTTTGCGCAGATCCCTGGGCCCCCAGGCTTCTAAGAGCGCCTGTCCCAGGCCCTGTGGGGACCCACCACCAGGACACAGCAGTCCAGGCCCTCAGCCCGACCCTCGGCCTCTGAGCACACCTGTCCTTGGGCTCTGTGGGGGCACACTTGGGTGCTGCGGGGACTCACCACAGGGACACAGCCGCCTGTGCACACACAGCCCGGCCCAGCCACCAGGACTCATTTGGCGTGAGGACACAGAGACCCTGCAGGTCAGGCAGCCTCAAGGCACGTTGCGAGCGCAGCCTCAGGTTCTGTGTTCTTTGGCAAAGGGAGGCACCGGATTCTTTTATGTGTGGCCGCTGAGACTGAGAAGACCGAGATGGAGAACAGGGACGTGCGGGGACGTGGGAAGCCGCTTACTGGCCCAGAGCAGAGCCTGGGGAGGGGGGACTCCTGTTCCTAGCTTCCAGGTCTCAGAATGAGGAGCGGAGCATCTGTCAGCTTACCAGAGGGCAGTGTCCAGGACGCACAGAGAACGATGAAGCCCAGAGAGGCAGAGAGCACTCACCGGGCTCAGAGGTGGCCACGTGGTCCAAGCAGATGTGCTAGTGGGAGGCAGATGCCCATTGCCTCAGTCATCGGAGACACCTTGGCCCAACACACCCACTGCGGTGGCGAGTGGAGCGACCAGACCCCGGCTGGAGAAGCCATCGCCCGGGGCTTCCCCGTCTGGCTAAACACAGGCTGGGCATTCGATCGGCTCCATGGGAGTCCCTCTCAAACCTGCTGCTCATGGTCACAGCAGCTGTTGCTGACAATTGCCCAAAACCAGAGACGACTAAGACACCCGGCACAGGCGGGTGGCACACCAGGGCACTGAGCATTCTGCTCAGTGGCACAGGAGCCGGACAGTCGAGCCATGAGAACACGGACAGGCCTGCACTGCTAAGTGGAAGCAGGCAGCCCAGCGAGGCTGCATGCTGTGGGGTGGACCCTAACTGTGGGGGCTGAGAGCTCAATGGGGAAAGGAGGTTGGGGTAACTGGGGGCGCCCCGCCCCAGCATTGTTAGGGCCTGACATCCTCCTGCACGATGCCCTAGCTGGAACCCGACAGACTGCAGCCAGCCCGCCCAGAGAGCCTCTGGCCCCTGGTTCGTAACAATGTATCCCTGCTGCACCTCCATCAGTTGTAACAAATGTATCTCAGGTCATTCCCAAGGTGAGCAGCCCGGCCAGCCGGGAACTCTCTGTACTTCCTGCCTTGCCTGCTCGCACCCTGAGGAGCTGAAGGTGCCACTTGGTGCAGCTGGCCACCAGATGAGTGTTTCACCACCCCAGGGGGCAAGCTCTGCCCGAGCTGCAACAGAGCAGGGGGGCAGCTCCCGAGGGGCAGCAGCTGCAGCCAGTGGTCTCGATTCCCTGCTCAGGGTGTGCCCGGCCACGTGGTTGGTCTGGGCCAGATGGCGCTGGAGGAGGACGAGGAGCCGGCAGCGGCGCAGTCAGTTCCAGAGGTCCTCTCGGCATGGTGGGGGGCTGCCGGGCAGTGGGGCCATGCCACATTCCATCCACACAGCCCAGGGCAGCCTAGGGCCGTGAGTGGGCAGGTACTGCTGATGCTGGGGCAGGGGCTTCTTAAAGGACATCACTGAGGCTGGGAACTGAATGGCGGGTGTCCTCAGGTGACAATGGGGACCGGACAACTGCCATCCTCATCAGTCGGGAGAGAGTTCAAAACAGGAAGAGGAGGAGCCTCTCCTTTTCCAGACACCATCCCCGCAGAGCCTCTTGGGACTGGAGGTGGAGGTGGACAGGCCTGAAGGAAGCCCCCAGCTGGGGATAAGGGAGCCAGGGTGCACAGACCACAGAGGAAGACCGCCCCTCCCCCCACCACTTGCCAGAGGGGCAGCCAGGACTTCCTGGGGACCCATCCCAGGCTGGCTGTGACAAAGGACCACGTGCTGATGGCTGGGAGGGGCCGTCAGGGATGTCTCACAGCGCTGAGCCTTTGAGTCTGATTTCAACAGTCACAGAGCCACACCGCCCCCAGGGCATGGCCTTGTCACCGGGTCACAGCCTCGTCAGAAGACAGTCCTTGCTCACAGGGTCACATCCTTGTCAGAAGACAGTCCTTGCTCACAGGGCCACACCCTTCAAAGGGAGCTCCAGGGGCAGGCGCCTCCTGACTCTCCCACTCCAGGTGGCCCCTGGTGTCCTGGGCTTGACGCAGCAGTGCCACGGGCCGGTCCTCCCTCTGTCTCTCTGGGACTTTCTTCATTCACAAGGCCACCACCAGACGGGATTAGGCCACCTCACTCCGCCGACCTCATGTTAACTGCTCGCATCTTCCTAGATCCTAAACCCAAACAGCCATGTCCCCGGGCACCAGGGACAGGATGTGCAGCCAGCTAAGTCCCGTGGGGCTGTGCAGGGCAGAGAATGACTTAACATGGCTCTTCCAGACAGTGTCTCCCACCCACACCAAGCCACCTTCCCCCCGTGGCTCTGGTCAGAAGGTGGG